GACCAACAGCGAAAGTTTCAACAAATGATGAACCAAAACAACAACAGCAATGCTAAATTCTAGGAAGGTTTTAGAACTACTAGCTAGTGGCGTACTTCAAAGGCAACGTTTTGATTCAAAAATGCTCTATGCTAGTCGTCGTAGTTTGCTTGTCAAAAATGGGTTGCTAGTGGTGACTTGCCAGGCTGGCTGCGCTCTATCTAGCTAAGCTATGGGGTGGACCTTGGGGATTGAGGCTCCGAGACTGGCAATCGATTGTTTGGACCAATCCACCACCCGTGAGGTCAGTCGGCTCACTAGAGGGGTGGAGAAGAATAGGAGTGGAGCCATGGTGCCGAGTATAAGCAGAGCCTTGGTGTGCAATTGCTGCCGAGGCAAGATTGCAGCTGCGAACATACTGGTAGTCATGTTGGGAGCAAGAAGAAGGCTGGGAGCTGGTAGCTTGGTAGGAGTAAGCAATGAACGACGGGGAACTGGCTGGGGCGATTTTGTGTCAAGAGCTCCAGCCAGCGGCAGACCGAGGCAAGCAGACTTGTACGCTGGGATGCTGTCTGGTCGTTGCACGGCTTAGAGCACAGCAACTTGGAAGGCAAGGAGCCGAAACCAGGTTGGACGGGGCCTTGTTCCTGAACAAGCCCCCAACATTGCTTTATTTCTGATTCCTTTGGCAAGTATGCATACCTCCTATCGACAATCTGAACACAACAAGAGGTGCACTGAACATAGCTAGCTAGTAGAGGGCGCGCGGCTTGAGCAAACAATTGGCCTCCCTTGCTACCTTTTCGTTCTCTTTGCTTGTCGCTCAGGCGTAAATTCGGCTTCAAAAGCAAGAGCAGATCATGGGGGCGACGGTGCCCGTGCTCGTTTCGGTGCAGTTCTTTCGTCCTGGGGATGAGCCCTGAGGCTACTAGGGTCGATTTGCGTGTTCCGCAACCTCGAACAGATCGTAGCTCATCGTGGCAGTTTGTAGATGCATAGTACAGGTAGGAAGCGCCCCCGTGAATGTTTTATGAGTTAAGTTATCGAGACAATAGTACCGGTACCCAGCCAGTACACGCGCACATCCTGGTTGTGTTCTAGTAGCTACAGCATACTAGCTAGCCAGTGGCTGGTGGAGAGCACAAGCAAGAGCTCAATCCAACCAACGCTCTGCCCGAACCACACGCAGACAGATTCGGGGAGCATCTCTTTTCCATCGCCCGAGCTCAACTCTAGTTCTTCGGCTCTTGTGCTCGCCACTGTATGCAGCAAACAGGCAGGAAACCGTACCGGCTGGTAGTAACCAACTTGATGAAGCAAGACGGGGCCTTGTTCCTGATCAAGTCCCCAACATTTCTAGGGACACAACAAGAGCTGCGCCACTGAACATGGAGCACAAGTGAAGCAACTGGCCGCCACTAGCTAGGTACAGTAGTACCAGTACCTTTTTCGTTCTCTTTGTCGCCCACGCGTCAATTCAGCATAAAAAGCAAGAGCAGACCATGGGGGCGACGCTGCCCGTGCTCGTTCCTGTGCAGTTCTTTCGTTCTGCAGCTTCTAGCTACTCGTACCTGGTAGCTATCATAGTTGTAGGGTCATTTATTTTGCCTGTCCCTTCTGTTCCGCAAACTCGAATACCGGTAGATCGCCTCGAAGGTTGCCATGGCAGTTTGAAGAAGCATGTTACAGGTGGGGAGCCCCTCTTCGCCGAGGTGCTGCGTGTTCGAGAGCTCAAGCCAACCAGCCAGCGCTCTGCAAGCGGTGTAGAAAGTTCAAGCATCTCTTTTCCGCCCGAGCTCAACACCACTACTTACTCGTTCAGCTCTTGCTCTCACCACTGTATGCAGGAAACCGTGTTGAAGCAAACTACTTGAACACGCGCAGCAATGCATCTCCTGAAAGATGACATCCATCTCGCAGGGAGGTGGAGAAAATTAATGCCCACCGACCCACCTGGGCTTTAGGCGGAGTGACCACTTTCGCACCACTGCCACAGTTTCACGAACAATGATCCCGTCCACCACTTCTGAACGCTGTTTAACCACTCTCATTAGCGCCAAATTATCCTTTTTACCATTGTCAAAAAAGACAATGGTTGACAGTTGACAAAGCCACGGTTTACCACCCTCAACGAGCCACTGTCTACTGTCCACCACCATCTTGGTGATGGTTACAGGATTTCTCCACCCCCCTGAGCAGAGCTGCTGATCAATCGGATCCAGAACCTCATCTACAAAGTAGAAAGTAGAGATCGTTTGAAAGTAGAGAATTCGAGTGGTATTAGATCTAGCTGTATCGTACCTTTGGCCGCCGACTGTTCGTTCCCAGGCCTGAAACCTGGAACCTAGACTCTACCGTATGATGAGGGAATAATATTATTTATGCTGGCTGGTTGGATTGCCCACAACAAAAGTCATCTTTGCCTGCCCTGCAAAAATGCTACAGTACCTGTTAGGCTGAAACTTGTTCTTTGATGACTCTCTTACGAGAGCTCTCTTAGTTATAATGTTATAAGACAGCGGGTCAACAGCACCACAATGTAGCAGGCCCGCCCACTTCTGCCTAAAAATTTAGTCATCACCAATGAGGTGGCGGATACGGTATACGGTATACAATGTGCACATGTGGCCAGCCCAAATGGTATACCGTTTACCGCATTTTTCTCTTTGATATTTTTGTAAAGAGAATTCAACACGGTTTACCATGTACCGTTTCAATTATTTTGTGTGCTGTTTACCGTTTACCGTGTATCTGCTGTGGCTTTGGGTTGTGCCTTGCTTCTTTGGAGACATTGCAGGAGGGAGGATACCGTATATCGTATATCGTAAATCAACTTTAAGTTGTAAAACCGTAAACCGTATATCGTACGCAGATATTGTCCTCTTTTGAACAAGTCAATGTATGAACGGTAAACGGTAAACAGTAAATTGTTCCCACGATGAACCGTAAACGGTATGGGCAGCAGGAAACTACATTGATCAAACAGTATGCAATACAGTACAGATCAGAATTTGACTTTTACAGTGGAAGCACTTTGAATCAAGCAGCTTCCTCTTGTGGAGTAGTGGTAGATGGTATGACCACTACTAGCTAGTACAGGCAGCTTCGTTTCTATTGATTCAAACGCGAGCCGAGCTTCTTCGTACATTTCTACAAGAGCACTCGTATAAGTGTACCAGAAAAGCCGGCACGCGTTTGAATCAGAAAAATCGAAGCTGCTCGTAGTAATCACAAGGAGATGGCAACAAAAACAACACTGTTTGCTGTTGATGCAGAGGACTTTGTGTTTTTTCTTCTTCTTCCTTGATTGAGTCACTAGCAAACCAAGACTAAACTGGCTAGCTACATTGTGGTGCTGTTGACCCCCTGTCCCCAATACTACTCCAAACTCCACACTCCCATCTCCCATTGAAGCATTGGAGCATTGAAGATTGAAGAGCAAACCACCGTCCATTAAAAAGCTTACTCGAGTACTACGGTAGTCATTTGAATTATGTCTCTATTTGATTCGACTACAGTAAATCCTTTTCGGGAGGCTAAGATTGGCTTCTATTAGACAAATAAATACTCCAGAGTAATGGGCAAATAGATATTAATAATGAGACAAATTTAATAATGACTGAGTCCGAGGTAAAGAACAAAGCTATTTTAAACTATTAACAAGTCTTTTACGACTTCACGACCAGACGACCAGGAAGCACTTGGATGGCAGATGAGAGACCAACATTAAAACAGCTGACCAACCATGCTCAAGCAGCAACAGCTGTGTAGGAATTGAGCGGTAAAACCATTTTGTTTGTTGATGATGTTTTGGGTATCTCCGTAGGCTCATTAAATCAAAGAAGATCATTAACCTTCAGTGGCCAAGCCAATACCGCCTCTCTACCGTAGCAAGCCAGAAGATACCAACCTCTGCTCATAATATACCATCGCACCATGGGACGCATCACTATTTTTACGGCAACCCACTGCTTGTTCAGTCTGCAAGTCAAGCATGAGCTGACAAAGCGAAATCTTCCTTTCAGTGAGGTTAACTTGACCGAGTATCCCGAGAAGAGATCAGACGTCTTTATGCTCACCAGACGCATGACAACTCCCCAAGTCTTCTTCAACACTCGGTATATTGGAGGGTGTGACGCCACACTGCAGCTGCTAGACGAGTGGGACCATGACACACGCCATGCTAGTCCTCTTAAAAAGTACAAATCTCAGATTGCACGGTTTCCAGATCCATCCAACCCTCACTTGGCACTGCCCGAATCTCAATCGATGGAAGAGACTTCCAGCTCAGAGTCTTCGTCCTTGGCGGCTCTACCCCTCGATTCTCCATCCGTAACCCTGGAGTTGAGCGATGGAACAGCCAGAACATATACCGTTTCCGATCTCATCGAGGAGCTTTCCGAGGTTCTACCTCTGGGTACGTTGTCTTATCATTTGACCAGTTACAAGAACAGCGTGACTGGTACTGCAGCCGTGGCTGCCTTGATGAAGCACTTCCAAACAGAGACCAGGGAAGAGGCAGAGGATATCGGCAAGCAACTCGGCCAACACAACATTATCCATCATGTTTGCTTCGAGCACAGATTTCAAGACACAAAAGCCTACTTTTATAGGCTCCAGGCGCACCAAACGCCGCACATCCTCAATTCCTTGTATTTGGTCAGCGATGAGGAAATGCATTGGGACAATGCACGAGCAGAGGCTCTCGTGGAACGTCTCGAGGTGCTCGTGGGACGACTAGAACGAGAATGCTATGCTCTGGAGGATGGAGGCGGGATCCGGTATAGCGAAGGTATCAAACAAAAGAGCCTGTTTCGAGAACTGGAGGAGGGCATCTGTCTTTTTCAAGCAGTTGAATTCGACACCATGAAGCCCAAGGAACTCTTGGCGTGGGGCTTGAATGTATACAACATCATGCTCAAGATCGCCCTTTTCAAGCGTGGCATTCCAAAGAAGGAATCTACACAGCAAATTTTTCTACGCGA